CAGAAAATTTCCATCGTATCTGTAAACCAAAATTGGTCCAAGTGAAATTGTCCAATGTTGCTGTTCTTTAACTTTTGGATATCATTATAGAAAAGACGCAATAGATTATTAGCGACGTTTTAAAAGTGTGTTTTTCACTCATTGTGAGCAAAAGGTTTTCGTGTAATATCCAGTTAAAATCCAAAGCATAATTTCACTTATCTTCAAAATATCAAGAAATGCAAATGCATTTCTTAGTAATGATACAAGCCCTAAAAGACAAATTAAGGAGATGTAGGATAAACAGGATAATAGCTAAGCAGAGTGGTTTAAGTATAGTCATATTGTTACGTAAGCGGAAGATGGGTAACATTTGAAAAATATGCTGATGGCATGATAATTAGAAGGAAGATTGCGGCCATAACAGCGTAAACTAGGAAGCAGATAGAATGTGACCATTTCTTCATTTGGAAAGCAGCAGTAGTTAAAGAATGTTGGCAATGGTTATCCTAATTTAAATAATAATAATTCTAAAACGTTGCTTTTAAGCGTGATATGAAATCTTGCTTATTATGTTTTTAACTTCAGTCATCTGGGAGAATGCTAAATTACACTATCTTACAATCTCTACGAAAATGCAAGAATTTCATATAATGCGAATTATTTATTTCAGCTTTATTATTTCGATGTAATGAAGAATGTGGTTTGCTTAATGTAATTTGTGAGATAATTTGTAATTTCGCTATGATATTCGGTATTAGAAAAATTTTGCGATTATATTCCTGGAAACACTCTTCGTGAGTTGAGTCTATGTTAATGTATTTTTGTAGTTAACCAATCAGTTTTTATTAAAAGCTTCTGATTTAAAATGAGTTTTCTATAGCTTATTATATGAGAACTCTGAAAGCAATGAAGAATAATAATAATAATAAAGGAAAGGAATTAGAGTTTAAATTGCTACAATGCATGTAATTCGAATAATATTCTGGCATACTGATTAAATTTCAGAATTTAATTGCTATACTGAAGGATCGTTTAGCATGAACATTTAACTTTGAATAAAATTTCCTTCCAGATTTATCCTCTTTTTTTAATAGCCATTTATCTGGAACTGTAGTTAAATACTGTACAATAGGCACTTCTTTTACAAATGCGGCATCACAGTAACCTTTTAGAACACTTGAAAGCAAGTTTTCGCTGAAGATGAACTTTATTAAAACTAAGTTTAAATAGAAGAATTAAAAGTACTTTCAAAACGAATGGATTTAAATATAATTTGCGCTACACCTCGAGGAACGATTAGTTCCTGAAGTTAGTTCGATGGTGGATTTTCGAGTGAATTCAGGTCTGAATTTATTCTAAACTTGATAAAAACTGAATTAATACATTAATCAATTTTCAAAGATCCCTAGAAAATAGCTCATATCTGCACCAGATAATATAATTCTTTAGAGATAGCACGTTTAGATTCTCTTTGGGTATTGAAACTAAGTTTCTTGAAGACAAAGCTGGAGATGCTTTCTGAATAACTTGATTTCAGTAAGTTCATGATCTTTACAAAATAATATGTGTGGGGTTCAGAAAGAGATTTTGTACTTGCTTTCTTCAGTTATGAAATTTGTATACATATTTTCTGTTGAACAAAATCAGGATAACAACTAAATTTCATTAAAAATTATGAGTCGTATATTGTTTAGCAAAAGAAATATTCACATTTCTTCTTTTCGAGGATAAATAATTATCGTTACAGATTATTACTGGATATCTGCGCTTAAAGAAGTGCATGTACTCTTTTTGAATATTTAGCAATAAAAATTTACACATATTTTAATTATTTAAAAATCATTCGCAGACTACTATTAGTTACTTATATTGTAATAAAAGGAATATCAACAAAATATAAAGATGCGGCATTTTAACGTTGACTGCTTAAAAAGTAAGATACATATTTATTGTATACAACAATATATGTAACTTACGATGATTAAACACCTCAGTGCCTTGCCTTCACAACACATGCCTCACTTCTTCAATACAATTTCTTGAAAAAGTCCTCGAGGGCAATCAGTATATTCTTGCATCTGCCAGGTACACATAGTGGGATGTGATGTAGAGTGTGCTGAATAACTATAAGTTTCTCCCTCCTACCAGCACGCCTTCGTTGTGTAACGGTAGCACATTCGGCGCTTATTCGAGAGATCCGGGTTCGAGTCTCGGCGAGGGCATTGCTCATTCTTCACGTTCCTGCTTCAAAAAATAACTTAATGTCTACACGTAACATTTACCATTTCTTGAGGAATTGCATTTTTAAGACTGTTATTAAAAATACGAGCTTTCAAATAATCCATAAAAGATATGTTATCCGGGATCTTGAAAGAGAATCATTGAAAATCGCTAAAGAAAAGAAGATGCCTGGGGAATGCAGTAGGCTTTTTGTATGGGGACATTTTTTAAGGCACATTTCTCCATCCGAACTCTACCTGACATTAACAACCCAAAAATACAATTCGTCGGAAAAGTGGTAATATTACTAAGGGCGCTCGCTCTACATTGTGCTGCAGTGAATGTGCCTAGACAAGTGACTTCGTAAGTTCTCCTTTCTCCAAATTGTGCTTTCTGTATTCAGATATTATTCTCGCAGCTAGTTTTATCCCCATTATCGTTCATTGTTTATTTATACTTAAAATTTTGGGAATATTATGTCAACTCCCAATTCCAGGTATTAAGAAATTTGTAACAAAAAGACTAATCGAGGCTTTTAATCTGATATGGCGATAGCAAAATTAGAATCGATGGATCCGAAAACTCAGCGACTGAGGAATGTTAGCAGCCTTATTCATTCAGACATATCTCACTACAAGGCCATCTACGATGACAAAAGACGTGTGTTTGGACGTGTTTGTGAGATGCTGCTGACAGCAACATCGAGATAATATTTCAGGCAGCCCCTCCGACTCCTTCAGCGTTCTCGGACATCTACGTCCAGCGTCGACTCTCTCACTGCAGACCTAAATAAGTTGTCACGAGACATTTTTTTATTTGAAAACAGTTATTTCAATTTGTTTTTATACTCCGCTATATATTTTTTTACTTTCGTAGTTTAATTTGAATACATACTGTTGGATGATGTTTCATGCATAACATATATTTTAAAGTAACAATAAAATTTTGAAGATTTTTCGAAGTTATGCTTAAATAATATACAAATTCAACTTACGTAAAATTTTAGTTATGTAAAGTTTTATGGAGCGTCTCACTTACGTAATTCTGTGAAGAGGGAGGTTACTTGTATAAAATATTACTTCATTTAACTTACTTAATAGTTCGATTCTTTTCCTGTGGCAGATATACACGTTATATAATTGATTATATCAATTAAATTTGTTATAGCATTTTATTACAAAGCATTAAATAAGAGATATGAGACATATGAATTTGTTAAAGGGTCCGAGTTTGTTTGATTTGAAAGACAAGACCTAACCGACCTTCTCTTTCAAGTAATTAATAGTAAATATTATTATATAGGTATTGTGTAAAATATACCTTTATAATATAGCCGTGTTTTAGTGATATTATGGGCCTTTATTTTTGAAAAATAAAATCGAGCTATTCTTATATTTACCCTTAATTTTGCAATCTGTATGATTTCTTGTGGTTTTATTTAATTGAAGCATTTTCTATGATTTCTTTTCGAACAACATTATAACTGCATTAATATCTGAGCACACAACAAATCTCCCCTCTTTTTCTTTTTCTTTAAGGAGGACTTTTAATTATGTAATTAATTAAAAAGTCCATTTGAGAACTAAAAAAAAATTATATGGATAACTACTTCAAATACTTCATTTTATAAATGCTTGTTTTTTAAACTGGGGATAAATGAAATAAAGACAATAATTTAGCAGAAGATGATATTAAATTTGTATTACTAGTACATTGTAATAGTAAATTGTGTGGATAGCTTTAAATCGTGTATAGAAAAATAGTGTATAGAAACACAAATTAATGACCATAGAAAATACCGTTAAGCCATAATTTTCCATTTTAACAATTGGGCCTTTCACTTTGGCAATAATCACTTCGGCAAGATTAATAAAAATTTCTTTTCGTTCAACCTCAATATATTACATTTACTTTTATGAAATAAACGGTCACGCAGTGTGTAATTACACATTACACATCAGAGAGGAAACACAGATAAAAAATATTTTGGTGATATAACCTAAATACGAAAATAACTAAGAGAATGCATGTAAAACATCTCTGTAGTTTATATTTAGAAACGCAAAGCTGTTAAAATGAATTAGAGTTCTGTACAAGGAGATGTAAAGTAAATTTGTATCAGCTAATTAACATCTTCGGAATCTCAACGTCGCGAGGCCCTGGGATATTTTTGCCATTTTTATTTATAAAAAATAATGCCTTGAGCCTTACCCGCGCTTGCTGCCACAAGTAAATGAAAAGAATACTTTTCCCCGAATAACAGAGTTTCTGTTACAAATAGATCCCAAATTATTATTATTAGGGGCTTCCGAGCGTTGAATGCGGTACCCGAATTCGGGATCACCTGATCAATTTTAATCAATCACCTTGTCAACTTCTGACGTCTGGCCCTGGTGAAACAAAGTTACATTTTTAATAACAGGTTACAGGTAGGACTACAACAGGGGAAGGGAGGAAAAAAAAAATCAGCTATGCTGCATACCAACGCAGTGGTGGCCTGATGTGAAATTCAACGTTTCATGTGTCTTTCTCCTCCCTGGTGCCACTTGCACAATATTTGCCCAGTCGCCATCTTTTGGACGACGTCATTAGTAATTAGACCAATTTGGCAGAAGCAAAATGCGAATAAAAAATGAGCTAAGCCCAACATTTCGTGGGAAACCTCAGCATTCTTGGCTTACTCCAATATATCATGTGTTATTCGTTTCTACCTTTACGTTCTTAGTAATTCGAATCTCTGCTTAATAATTCCATATGTTATTAGTTATTATTATTACTTTTTTTCTCTCTTCTTCTAGGTCGGACGGATTGGACCGCCTGGGGTCGAAAACGTGGCGCTCAGGAGGGGCTGAACGTCAGGAGGGAAGTGACTCGAGTGAGTGAAAACAACCCGCAGGCCCTGAATCGAAGTTGTGCCACTAATTACCGACGTTTGCGCGCGGGACTATCTTTTGGTTCTTTTATTTTTATTTTTTTGCGAATCCTAGAGAGGGCCTCAGTCCAGCGTTGTCCGTCGGGCGGATTGGAATCCGAATTTGTGTGGCGGAAACGTGGACCATTACACCCTCCGACAGAAACATCTGGAGCAGATATCTCTTTTCGGCCACTTTTTTTCTTCTACTTCCTAGATTTTTATATCTCATCAAAGCGACTTTCCTTCCTTCCCCCTTCTGCTTTTCCTTCCAAAGTGGCCTTGCAGCCTCTAAGACGCCCATTCATGGATTGGAGTCCCCGCTGTTGTATCTACTTTGCATCTATACCTGCACGTAATTGGCAGTTTCTGCATCTTCGACAGCTGCGGATTTTCTGCATTTTATCTTTTTGCCCATTCAACTAGTTTTAATCTTCAAGAAATACGGCTTCTTGACTTCTGAAAGGAAATACTAAAAAGTTGTATTATTAACAGGAAATGCAAGTCGTTTATTGATACTAAGAAGATCCTTCCATGCTGTGTGGTGTTGGACTTAGAGGACATGCTTTTTTAGACTGCTGGTGAAATTTTAACTTCGCAACAATTTGCGGTGAAAATAGGATATCTTTTCTACCCTTGAAACCTATGATGATCAGTTTTGCCTACCACGTGCTTTCATGCATTCAGAACATATCTGTAAAGGCTAGAAGATGTAATTAATGTATTGAATGAACAGTGATAGTTAGTGGTTCATAATCTCTTTTTGGTTTCTATTTTTCTAAAAACGTCTGAGTGCTGAAAAGTTACTTTTTGAAGAAGTTAGTAAATTGTGAATGAAGCAAAGAAAGAAAAACCAGTCATCTGTCCGAAGAGGTATTTGACTTTCTGGAAACCTTAATTATCTGAATTTTTAAGAGTCTGTAAAAGGCTTTAGAAAGACGATGACTTTGATAATGACTTCGCGTGCTGGATGGCGATTTTTCGCTGGCAAATCAATCCGAAATACGTGAGGTCATTTCAGGCTTCAAACATAATTAGCCAGCATTCATCTGCCTTGTAACCAACTACAGTTCACTGCAGTCTTCGCTTGAATATAATTGTATGATGTAATTAAATATAAGTTTATCGTTATGGATTAATGTATCTAGATGAGATACCAAAAAAATGTTGTTCACATTTTTAAGTATGGTTACCAAAAGCAGAATTTATACAAGATACAAAGAATCAAATGTTTTAAAAATCTTGAATCACAAGCACCGTCTTTTGTGAGAAAGTAACAGATCTTTCGATAAAATTTCAAAATGCCCAACACATCCGTTACTTAAAATAAAGATAACAGTATAAAATTTTTGTCAAGGTGCAATATTTTCTCTGAAGGTTTGAGTAGTATTTCCTCTTATGAGATAAAAAGTCCTTGATTGCAATAAAGGTTTTTGTGGATACGACCACCGAAAAATGGTTATAGTATCAAGTCCACCACCACAGCTTTCATCCTCCTTAAGCAATTTGGAAGTTGAAGACACTGATATAGGAAGAATGGAAGGTCTTTTGGAGAAATTGAAGATAAACGTGGTAAGTGAAATTTTAAATTAATTTTAGAGATACGTATTGTTCACCTTAAGTAAATTGCTAACAGAATATATATCGTAGAATATTACGTAAAGTGATCAGACATTCCGGGAATTGATTATGTTCTACAATCTTTTTTATGCAAGAATGGCATTATCTTTGGATAAAAAATAGAAAGTTTAGATAAAATTAAAAAATGGGATTTGTTTTTTGGCATGAGTCGATTTGATCCCATTAATAAACGTATTTTTATCAATTATTGTTCGTTGAATGGGAGTTGGTTTGTTCCCATTGAAAAGTCAATTAATTTCCGATCAATGACAATGATTACATGGTTTTAATTTTCCTTTTACAATTGAAATTTTATTCTTCATGATGATTTAACTCTAGTCCCCATTATTAACATTTTGCATTTTGCTAAACATTATTAACATTTTGCTTTCAAATTACTTCAAAACATATTTCGAAATATAACTTACCAGTATGGATTCACTCTTTTAAAATAATTCTACTTTAATTAAACATAGGAGATAATATAATCAATTAATCAATATTGTTTAGGAATAAATTATTATATATATATATATATTTAAAAATGACGGTTCACCTAATGCCCTTAATAGAACTTTCCTCAATGACTCTAAGCAACGATGCTTCGTAAATATGTCCGGTTATTATCCTAAATGATATCTTAGCGTAAGAAGGGATGCTCGAAAGTAGTAGTTAATATAGTGTTATTCTACGTAAATTTCAAGCATTTACAGTAGCAGGAATTTCTGGGTATATAATTATTTGCTTCATCTTATAGATAACTATGATTAGTAAAAATGTAATAATTTTCTTACGTGCATTAGAAAATTAATTTTGATTTTATTAAATGTGTTCTAATTTTATAGATATTTCCGCGTCCTAATTTCCTTAAAATTTAATGCAGCCTTAGATTTGGAACAATGGTGAAAAAATTAAATATAAACTATCGGGAGGGTTACGAATTACATTTAATAAATCTTAACTTAATAAAATAAAAAATATTCAGCATTTTTATTTGAAAGATTTTAGTAAATAATCATAATTCTGTATGGCAGATTTAAACTTAAGTCTGATTAAAATAAAATAACAAAAAATTGAAATCTTTCAGATATTATATTACGCCCAAAGGGGTGTTTTTTAACGTTTTATGTGTTACCTTTAATTATTAAATATCACGTTCTTCGCACCATAAAATTAAATTCTATAGCAATATAACAAAATAATTTAAAAAGATCATATCTTTATAATTTCCGATACTGCCTTGTCCGCTGGAGAAGATAATTTTTTTTTTTTTTTCGTACAGTGTTGCCATTGCTCGCTTTGAAATCGTCGAGTTTGTTAATCAAAAATTCGTTTTACAAAATATGAAAGAGGTAATAAAAACACATTCCGAATTTGGTTTTCCAGATGGGAGTCTTTAAAAAAAATTAAAAAATCTGAAAGTTTGCAGATTTTTCATTACGCCCAAAGGGCTGTTTTTTAACTTTCTGTGTGTTAGCTTTATTTATTAAATATCATGTACTTAGCACTTAAATCATAAAATTAGGTTTAACAGCAATATCGCAAAATAATTTTAAAATGAGCATATCTTTAGAATTTCCGATACTCAGTCTCGTGCGCTGGAAATAATTTTTTCCCCGTACAGTGTTGCCATTGCTCGCTTTGAAATCGTTGAGTTTGTTAATCAAAAATTCGTCAAAGTTTTGCAAAATATGAAATAGATAATAAAACAAATTCCAAATTTGGGCTTCCAGATGCCCATATTCGGGTGGAAACGTACGTTATTCAAAATTTCATGGCTCTAGGTACGACGGCCCTAGGTACCGTCGTTTTATCACAGTACGAGAAACATACATACATTTATGCAGATTCTTCATTATTTAATTTCCTTAAATATAATACAGGGCTGCAATATTTGGTGGCAACGGTTTAAAAAGTGAACCAACATTTAAAGTTTTCAACGTGAAATGCCAAAACGAAATTAATAGCCTTTCTGGGCTAATAAAAGGATTGTAATTCACCCAAGAAGAAAGGTCCAGTTGTTTAAATTAGGAAATTTTGGATGTTTGCGGGAAATCTGGAGATGTGGTTGCCATCTCTTGAAGCAGTTTCGTTACAAAAGTTCCAAATAATCATTTACGATAGTTGAACATTATATACTTCATTTAAATTTTATTTTCATTACAACAGAATATAATGGCTGAAAAATTTTTCTTTTAAATTATCTTTTCAGTCTTAGAATATTTTTTAATTTATCGTTATATAGTAGATTTTATTCAATAGAATTAGACCGTTGCGGTCATCCTATTTTCCCATTTGCGTTCTGTTTAAATTTCATTGGCGATGCATGAAATATTTTTTTTTAGGAAGAAGCTTTCTCTGAAGAGACAGCATTCTTTTATAAAGCGTTCCACTTACAATGAAATTAACATCTGTATTGAGGATGACATTTAATTGTTAGTCCAAAGGGGCTTTCTCCCTGAAGGACTATTGTTTTCGTTTTGCGATTTTGTATTGAATCACTATAAATGTCCGTTTCACTTTTCAAACTGTTGCCACCAAATCTTAGAGTCTTGCATTATATTTGAAGAAATTAAATAATGAAAAATCTGCATAAATGTATGTCTATTTCTCGCATTGTGATAAAACAACTGTACATAGAGCCATCGAATTTTGAATGACGTAATCCTCCTACGAATATGGGCATTTGGCAGAGCAAATTTGAATTTTTTTTTTTTTTTATCGATTTCATATTTTGTAAAACTTTAACGAATTTATGAGAAACAAACTCAACGATTTGAAAGCGAGCAATGGCAACACTCTACGGCGGGGGGGGACCCTTTTTATGTCCAGCGGGGCTCGGAACTGTGTATCGGAAATTACTGAATTTTATGATTTAAGTGCAAAGAACATGATATTTAATAATTAAAGGTAACACACAAAACGTTAAATAAACGCCACTTTGGACGTAATTTAAAATCTGAAACTTTTCAGTTTTTTTTTTGGGGGGGAGGGATTTTTTTAAATTTTTGTCGTACTTCTGTGAGCAAAACTGAACACTGTTCAAATTGCATTAAAGATATGAAGTATATATGAATTTAATTTCTGGTAGAGGAGAACTTCGACTTTTTATATGTCAGGATTTATTCTCGATTAAGCCAAAGCAGTTCGACGGTTGTCTGCCTATAGGAAATGGGAAGAAATGCTTTAGTGGAGGACTCGCTAAGGAAAACTATTGTACATACAAGCTTAAAATTAGTTTTCAGACTGTAAGGAAATGAATATAGTGATAAGATTAAAGAAAAGTATTCAGTGCGAGCATTATGCTTGCTTTTAGTTCTCTCAGTTTTCATTATGCTTCATAAATATTGTAAGTTTAATTTTAGTTATCACGTTAATTTAAATTCTTTCCTGTATTACTTCTTTCGTCGGGCTTCAACAAGCATTTGTTTGATTTTAAATACTGTATAAATCTGTAGTTTAGACAGATTAGTGTTTCAATTATCAGTACAACGTGTTAACGTGAGTCGACGCTCCTTTCACGTGACCAACTTGTATATTGGTAAAAGAAGCTTTTGAAACCCTCCTGTCGAAGCCAAAATGATAGATAAAAGTTTGATATTGTAGTTTACTGTTTTACATACCTGAGTTTCTGACATCTTCCTTCCACAAGTATTAGATGCATTTATTAATTTTTATAGAGTATTCCAATAAACTGTTAAAATATTTTAATTTTTAAAACGCCAAAACGTTAATAATTGTCTTATCTGAAATATTTTGATATCGAAAAGTATATGTTTACGGCCAACAATTGCGAAAATAAAGACCACGTAAGATTTATGAACAAGGGTTACACATCGTAAAATAAAATTATTATTTTTTAAAAGTTATTTGACAAAACTTAAATGTGAATGTTTTATCACATAATAATTATTATTATAGTACAGTTTGAAAGGTTCCTTTATTAATTACTTTCCCTTCAAACAGTAAGGATGTAACTTTGCATTTTTTAGTATATTAAACCCTGTTAATTACCGTCTCTAATATACATTTTGCTGCGTATCGACGCTTATTTTGGGAAGAAATTAAAAGCGAAACGTTTTATAGACACTTTCATATTCATACATACTGTTTTTGTAAGTGTCTGGTGTGTACAGTCACATTATAACATTTAATCCCAGTTGAGGTTTAACTTATTAATAATAAAATTGTTTAGTACAAGCAGCACACTATGACACCAGAAGTATGGATTAACTAAGAAAACATATTGTTGTATTCTGTACGGGTTCGTGGATTTGGCTTGATTGACGACAACACTTTATGAAGTATCATAACACAATATATTTGCCAGTATTACTCAGGACAGCTCCCCAAAACACGCTTACAGTTGTCGAAAAATTATGACAGGCACGCTGAAACAATCAGTAACACAACCTTCAGGCTATCAGGCTATAACGGTGAAGACAGCTTCACGGTAAAGCACTAAACTGCATCTCCCGACTCTGGCCGGTGGTTCTTGGAACTCAACAACTTGCGATGCACTCGACGATACGTTCGATAGCCTCAACTCGTGATACACTCGACGACCAACTCGACACCAGACAACGAAACCCTCTCGCGATGCACTAACTCGATCGACTGATGAGGCATTAGAGTGCTATTCAGCTTACAAACAGGGTTTATGTAGCTTTTTGGCCTGCGTTCGAGCACATTCTGGGCCAAACCGGTAAGAATTCGTTCTAGAAGGTTCTCGGTATATTGCCAATTTTGTCGCCAAAATGGTAACTTTGCCTTCCCTTTTCATTTTATGGCAACCCTAAACCTTTGCGGGGAAGCTATCTTACCGCAGCTGGACATTTCGTAACAATATAATATTGAACGTGGAATTTGAAAGTTTTTACACAAGACATTTTTTCTTGTATATATGTAAGATAAAAAATATCCGAAGAAAAATACTAACTTTAATTTTGTAA